CATTTATCAAAGTTTGAGGGTTTAGAGTTTGCAATTGAAAGTTTAAGAGTTAAATTATAACAACTACCATATTTCAGGGGTGGTTTTTGCAATTTACCCTATTACTATTTAGGTGTGTTTTATTTTTATATTTTGTTAAATTTAACATGTATGATCATATTCATAAGAAATCTTTTCCAAATGGTTGCTATAATTATAAAAAATTACAAAAAAACTATTTTAAAAAATGTTAATCTATAAAAACAACTTTTAAAACTTGATTTTTTAAAAGAAAAAAAAACCCAAATAGTGCCATATTTTTTTAACTATTTCATTTTTTCGAAATTTCAAAATCTAATCCGAATTTTAAAAACATTAGTGGACTACCAAATAAAGAAAATAATTAGTCAACAAGCCTAATCTTTTTAAAAACTTAAAACAAAAGATGAGAACGTTGTCAAATGAATCCTAACTAACGAGATTGAAACGATAATGTTCATAAATAAACGTGAGAAATAAAAAATTCTATTTTTCTATGGATATAAAAGTCTTTGGAATTTTTTTTTCTTGAAATAAAGAATAAAGTAGAAATAAACGACAAGTTTAAACATTAATATTAAAATGGCTATTTGACTCTTGACTTTGCATTTGGACAAGTAATGCCATTGTTTTAATCCACTTGGAAAGAAGATTAGGTCAAATTCAAATATGAACTTGGTTGAAAATTGGGGAACAAAAAACGGCGGATTCAAACTTTATTTATGTGTTTTTTTCTATAATAAATTAATGTTCATAAATTATCTAATAAAAAAACTCGATGTTACTTATTTTTGGGTCATCGAGTTTTTATTAGATAATTTATGAAAAATTATTTATCTCATATATAGCTAGATGTCAGCTATTCCTTTATATCTGCATATTCGTTGTACTAAAAAAATTACTCGATAATTAAGGTGTCGTTTGATAACTATTTTGTTTTTATTTTTGTGTTTTGAAAAATTATGCTTGTTTTTGTACAATTTCATTGGTAAGTTTTTCATCTCTCAAAATATATTTAAATTCTTGTCCAAATTTCAAAAACAAAATTTTGAAAACTATGCATATTTTTAGTTTTCAAAATTTAACCTCCATTTTGAAAATGTTTATAAAAATTATATAACAAAACAAAAGAATACACAAGTAAAAAGTAATGTTTTTGAACTTAATTTTTAAAATTGGAAGGCCTAAATATACATATTGAGAGCTAAATATTATTTTTTAAATTAATTGTAATGACTAAAATATAGTTTTTTTTTAATTTAAAATTTTTAAAGACTAGAATAAAATATTTGATTGTTGACATCTTAAAACAAAATAAGAATGGAAATATTTAGTAGACATTTTTTTTTTGTTTCCTTTGAGTTTGGTTCAAAGACTTTGACTCTCAATGGTTTTTTAAATTCGTCAACTCTCTCCCTTTAATGATCAACTCTCCATAGAACCAATAATTACTTAGTCGAATTTGTCTTTTAGATTTAAGATTATAATTTCATTATAGTTCTAATTATGGACCGACTTAATAATAACAAGTACGTTAACAATGAAAATGACTCATTCTTTAGGAAGATTATTCGAGAAATTTATTTTGTATAAAAATTTTTAAAAGAAGTTTGAAAAGAAAAACTAAAAAGTATTTTGTCAATTTTCAAAGAGTTGGCAACCACCCTCCCCTTACAAAATGGCAGGTAGTAAATTCCATCACCTACAAATAATGGTCCTTTTTTTTTCAATTAATAAATTGCACTAAATAATTTCTATATCTCTTTTTTCCCCCATTTTTTAATTAATAATATTTTAATATTACATTATAAATTTGTCCTTGCATTTGCATCCTCTTTTATTTTTGCTTGAGCCTATTTACAGCACCATTATGATATTGATGTCAGAAATTTATGGAAGTGCATCTTTTGGCTACTAATTAATATTTGGAGTTATTGGAGCCACTAAAAAAAAATATGTATGTAGAAATTTCTTCTATGCAAGTCTTCTAAATCTATAGGTATATTTTAGTCTTTACACGACAAGTTAAGGTCTTTGAACTTTTAGAATGTCTATTATGATACTCGAACTTAAAAAAAAAATTTATTTTAACTCACTCTAATAGTTTATCATTAATTGTTTGACACATGCATGATGTAATTTGAATATATTTATTAGTATGTTGACGTGGATAGGTATTAGAGCCTCATAGATTGGTTGAGGTAGGTATTTAATGGGGTGATATTAGGAGACGCTAAACAATAGCAATGATCAAAATTGTTGTTTTTGAAAACTTAGAAACTAAATTTTAACCTTTGAAAAGTTCACTACTACAAAAATAGGTTTTAATGTCGGGCGTGACGCGACATTAAAGGGTTCGAGTGTTATTGTAACTTTTTACCTCTAGCGTTCTTTAATGTTAGGCACGGTCTGACATTGTAAACGACCGTCATTGTAGCCTACAATGATGATCGCTTATGATATCGGTCAAAAGACCAACATCTATTCAACTATTATTGTAGCCTACGACGACGGTCATTAAATGTCCGTCATCATATGTCAGTTTTCAATGTCATGCAATGTCCGTCATTTTATGTCTGTTTATGTTAGGCAATGCCCGTCATCATTTGGTTGATAATTTAATTAAAAAAATTGTAAATTGTTGGTTGCTCATATGGCTAACCAACGGTCTTTTGTCATTTCTTAACCTTTATATATGTACAAATCTCAACAATTCTGTGCAACCAATTAACTAACTAAAAGTAGAATAACAATGGCAAGCGAGGCTTGACATTGAAACTAAAAAAAAAATGTCCAACATTAAAACTAAAAAAATAAAAAAGAATAACAATCGCGGGCGAGGCCTGACATTAAAACTAAAAAGATAATGCCCGAATTGTTTCAAGTGTTATTGTAACTTCTTATGTCGAACGTTCTTTAATGTCAGGCACGACCCGACATTGTATCTGACCGCCATTGTAGCTTACAATGACGATCTGACCGACATCTATTTAACTGTTATTGTAGCCTACAATGACGGTCATTAAATGTCTGTCATCATATGTCCGTTTTCAATGTCAGACAATGCCCGTCATCATTTGGTTGATAATTTAATTAAAAAATTGTTGGTTGCTCATATGACTAACCAATGGTCTTTCATCCTTTCTTAATCTTTATATATGCACAAATCTCAATAACTTTGTACAACCAATTAACTAACTTTGTACAACCAATTAACTAACTAAAAAGTAGAATAACAATGGCGGGCCAGGCCCGATGTTGAAACTAAAAAAAATAATGTCCGACATTAAAACTAAAAAAATAAAAGTAGAATAACAATGGCGGGCGAAACCTGACATTGAAACTAAAAAATAATGTCGGACATTGTTTCCTCCTTATTTTTTTGTCCAACATTGTTTACTTCTTATTTTTTTTATCGGACGTTAAAACCCAGATTTGTAGTAGTGGGTTAGGGACCAAAATAAAATCTATACTAAATTACAAAACAAGAACCCCTAAACTTTGCCATTTGTTTCAAAAATACCCCTATATTTTCAAGAGTTTTAACACTATCCTTAACCATTCATAAATGTTTAAAAAATATATATCCTTTTAGCAAACATCCGTTAATATATTTTGAATGAAAAATAATTGACACGACATAATCTAGAACGACACGGCAATCATCCCTGTCTTTTCAAACTAAATTCAAGTAAGTTTCCACATTAATTGTTGCGTTATTCTAAACTCCGCTATGTTAACTTTCCATTCAAAATATTAACTAATGTTTGCTCAAAGGGTATTTCTAAAATTTTTATAAAAAGGTAAATAGTAGCATTGAAACTACCGAAACTACATGGTATTTTTTAAACAAAAAGTAAAGTTTACAAAACTTTACACATCAAAATAGAATAAACATACAAATAATTTAACAATATAATATTTAGAGTTATTACAGCTAGATCCCCTTCTCAGGTACATAAGGTGTGGGAAGACAACAACAAAAAATCTTTCTAGTGAAATGAGAATCTTGGTAACCTAACCAAAAATTAAAGTTGACCCTCATCCAACTACCATTGTCCTACTTTCATAGATTAAAAAAAAAAAAAAACTCATTTTATTTTTAATATTTTATTATAGTCTCTCTCTCTCTCTCTCTTTTTTTAACTACTTGAAAAATACTTTATTTATATAGTGATAAATATTGTTCCCATGAAAATTACTCCTAATTTACTTTTTCTCTTTGTTTTTCATTTTCTTCTCATTTTTCTTCCAAATAAGATGTATAAGAATGCAACACAACTACTTGGGCATACTTAAAGTACGAAAACTATATGGTAAAAACATTTCGGGGGGAATTTTCAGCCTTGTTTATATCTTGTTATATGATTAGTATTTTTTTTAGCATAGTTATATCATCGGTAATAACGAAAAATGTTGTATAATTCAACTAATTAAAACAGCAGTTATCTTTTTTGAGTTGAAGATTCAGACTCTCTCCTATATTTATTTATTGAACTTAACTGAAGAATTACAACTTTAATAACTTCTTAAAAAAAAGGTTTAATTGTAATTTTAGTTACAACTTTTAAAATGCTTCAACAAATGAAATTAGTACACCCACAAAAAAAACATCCAAATCTAAAATCGAGTAGATCAGAAAATTCGAAATTCAATGCACCAAAACATCCAACTGGTTATAGTGCATCTCAATCCTCACCCCGGTATTATTGAACTAAAAAAAAGTCAAACTCATTGAAATAAAAGTACTCATACAACCCTAAAAAAAATCCCGCCAAACCACCAAGTCACTCACATCTAACTAAAATCGAGGACGCTCATATCACAACTCATTCATATTCAAAGTTGTTCGATATGGGTTAAATTTAAGTCTTGAATTGAGGCTACATTATTGGAAACTCATTCATATTCAAAGCTGTTCGATATGGGTTAAATTTAAGTCTTGAATTGAGGCTACATTATTGGAAACACTATATATTAAAGAAAAAAGAATGTGGCTAGGAATACAAAGAACATGGATAATAAGTAATGAAATAAAGAACACGGAGCGTGATCAAATTGTCAAGTTGAACATAGCTCAACTAATTAAAACATACATCTTTTTGACCTGGAAATTAGATATTCGAATCTCTACTCCAAAAACTATTCTCCTTGAACTAAAAAAAAGTGGGATCTAAGTTGAAAGAGTAGTTGGGTCCAAGAGTTTGAGGTGGGTCCATAGTTGTGGATCATTGAAATCCCTAATCACAAAACTGGCTCCAGCCTTCATCAGCAACTCTTGAGGATTTCTTCTTCCCACACCCACCACTTTCATTCCACCTCCCACTCCTGCTTTCACTCCTGATACTGAGTCCTATTCCCAAACACAAAAATCATCCAAATAAATAAATAATCAATTTAGTCCGGTCGGAAATGGGACCAAAAAATCTTGTATCGACTAGATAAGGAGAAAATCAGAGGAAGATTACGAATATATTAACGAGAGACATCTCTATTGGTATGAGACATTTTGAAACAAAGTCTAAAATCAGAATTTATGCCTAAAATGGACAATATCATATCATATCAATGTGAAAGGTGGAGAGGGTATGTTTGTCACCGACAAGTACTCCATGCAGTTACTATTTTGAAATCAATCCGTTAAGGCACTTATTACCGTTCTAAAGGTCATTACTTTAATACTCACCTCCCTCATAATTTTTTAGTTTTTAATTATTTATTTATTTTGAAAAAATAGTTAGAGTGAGTATAATATTAAACATCCGTCGACATGTCGACATTTCCATATATCCATCGATTCAACATCAACATGACAGGTAAATCGACATTTCCATATTATTTAAAAGAATCAATAAAATATTAAATGTATAAAAAAAAATCACCAATATAGACATAATATTAATATTAATCATAATCATTTTTAACTTGTTTAGAACAACTTAAATACTTATTTGTTAACTGAAATATTTTTACCTTATAACCTTTCTAGAAATATCCATCGACATTGATTTAACCTTTCTAGAAATATCTATCGACATTGATATCTTATCTATATTTTCATTGATATATCCGTAAAATTGAGACCTCGATATTTCTAGACTATTGAATTAATAAAATTTGAGAGTAAGTGAGAAAAAATAAAAATAAATTACCTCAAAGACAAAAGAATTTTGAGGGGAGGCTCCAAGTTCTTGAAGAGCATTCAAGTAGGGATCAGGAAATGGCTTTGCTCGCTGGCATTCGCTGCCTATAACCACCGCCTCAAAGAAATTTGCAAGTCCCAACATCGACAGGATCAGCTCCGCGTTCCGCCGTGGGGCGTTTGTCACGGCGGCGCGTTTTACCCCACGCGCCTCTATCCACTTGCACACCTTCTCCAGCCCTTCAATGGCTTCCAGCTCCTCTGCTGCCAGTCTGGTGGACACCATGTGTTTAGATAGGAGTATCGATACTTTTAAATTTTGTTTACTTTAGTACTGTTTTATACTTCTAATTTCGTTTTTTTTCGGGTAAAATACATTTTCAATCTGTAAGTTTGAAGATAGGTTATCATAAATTTCAAAAAGTGACAGTTGGCCGTCAATCTTTACTTCAAAATCTTTTATAACTATTTTCTAAAAGTCGAAACCAAACTATTACTTTTTAAAAACTAGGGATCAAATATAGATCTATCCTTAAATTCACAGACTAAAATTGTATTCCACCATTTTTATTTTCATCTCATTTAACTTTTCCCTCACTAAGTTTGAAACGTAACCATAAATTTATATTAAATAGTTTTCGAGGTAGTGTATAAATTTTGTTTTAACATTTTGTATCAAATGGTTGCTTTTAAAAGTATAATTTTGAAAGTATATAATCTAAAATGAACCAAAATTGAAGCTACATGAATCAAAATGAATATTTTGAAATCAAATAGACCAAAAATTGAGATTGAAGGGAATGGCTAAACGAACTAGAGACGATCATTTTCAATGGGTAATGGTGGGATGGGTATGGTAGTTACATTGTATTGATTCAGTCAATTTTTTATAACGTACATTTTCGTATATAATTTTAGTAAGAAAAAGAAACATACCCAAGAATAAAAACGAGCGAAAATGATTCTCATTCCTTCATTTCCGTTCATAAGCGCCATGGGGGATGAAGTTTAAATACCTGCAAAAATAGGCTTCTTTATCTTCAAGAAACTTTCTAGCTTTGGGTAGGTCCCAATTTGGTAGGAGAATGCCACAAAGGTCCTCATTGTGTCTCCCACTTATGCTCTCTACGAAGAATTCTTCATTGATTGGGACTCCATTGTTGAATCCAACCTACATCAAAATAATTGTTCTTATTTTGTTAGATATCAAGGAAATTTTTAACAAGAAGATTTTTTACAAAAGTATATAAACAACATTTTTTTTGGGATGTTTATTGTTGTAAATAGTTCACAACAAAAAAAAATGTGTGTTATGGGTAGTGTCCAAACAGGACACGCATCCGCTCCTCCACAAGTTTGGGTCCACGGAGAACCACCTTCTCAGAGAGGATATCGTCGAGCAGGAAACACATCCGCTCGAGAGGGGACGAATGACTGTAAACGGTTACGTCTCATACACGGCCACAGCTGACAATGCACGCTGTCGGTATAACGGGAACATTCCGCAGCCCTAGGCAACATACCCAGGAGGCACAGGTGGCTGCTACTGTCGGAACCGCATTTCCTTCTGTCTAGTCGTATAGTGTGCAACGTCCCTGTCACCTCCAATTATTGTCCTTCCTGGTTAAGAACCACCATCCTCACCAAGTAAGTGAAAAACCTGTCACTAACACTTGAGGTATTTTTTTCTACTAATATTCCGATACTTGATCGTCGGAGTATATTAGGCTAGGCAGGATATCGTACCGGCATCGAATTCTTTGGCTTCAGGTCTAGTGGATCCTAGGTCGGACTGCTTGTCCAGTACCACGTGGCCCTCTACCAAAAATCGTCGTCAACAATGTGGTTTGCTGATTTTAAATGTTTTTATGATTCTATTATATGAATAATAATTAAGCGTCAATTATTGACCACTATTAAATTTTTTACCAATAAAAAAAAAGATAGAAAAATAAAAGAGATATATTTTTTTGCTTTTTAAAGATATTAAAAATCTGTCAAATTTTGAACCGCGATACGTGTAATGAATATAATAAATATTGACAAGTGAATTAGCCGTCAAGTATTATTCCTGTTTTATTATATAGTGGCATTAGTTTTTAGTAGGTTAATGCATAGTCACGTTTAGAATAATGTTTTTTTTCCTCATACTACTAATTTAATTTTGAAACTATTATTAATTTCACAAATTTAATAAAATTAGAAGTTAAAAGTTAAACTTAAGTTTCTTAAAGCACTTTAGAAAAAATCCTAAAAACATTATTTCACTAATTAAAAATAATAATCTAAATATACGAGACAGTCCATTTTTTAATTGAGTACTTGATCTTTTAAACTTCTCAATTTCTACTCTTAGTACAGTTAAAAATCACTTTTGGTCCCTATTGCTAAAATAACCATTTAGTTCATGAATTTTAGTTTGTAACGATTTAGTCCTTGAAATTCAGTTTGTAACCATTTAATTTCTGTACTTTTTAATAATTTAGTCTCAAAAATTTTAAAATGTAATAATTTAAAGTTTGTAACGATTTAGTCGTGTAATTTTTTTTGTTAAGATTCTTATATATATAGTGATTGAAGAATAATTAAATTGTTATATAATAAAACTTGACACTTAATTTTAATAAATTTTTTCACGTCTAAATTGTTATAATTTTTAAACTATATATGTTCAGAGACTAAATCATCAATGGTATTTTTTCCCTTAATAAGTTAATACATTAAAATTCTCAATTAGGTCCTTAACAAAAGAAGAAAAAAAAGTTAACATATCATCGATTCATTAACATACCCGAAACCAAACCTATTCAAACCAAAATCCTACTCACAAATCACTAAGATAAAATCCATTTCTTCCTAATTGAAAATTTCAATCACATTATGAACAAAATTGAGAATTCAAAAAGATTAAAGAGCATTGGGTATATTATATTAATTATTTAGGCAAAATAAAAACATGAAAAAAGTAATTAAAAGATAAAAATGAGGGCGACGGCGGACCTGAAGAAGGCATTGACGGAAGGCGGAGAAATGGAGAGGATCGGAATCGCAGAGCGTTCCATCGATGTCGAAAAGAACGCATTCCAGACGCCCATTCTCGCACAAACTGCGACACAATTTTGAAATTTCTCCTCAATTCTTCCAAATTAGCCCCAAAAATTACACAACGGGACGGAGGAGTTGCCTAATTCCAGTACCTGAGCGCCGCGGCAGNGAGGAGGAGAGATACAAGATTGCATTCTTTTTTCCTTTCTCTTTTTTAATGTGTGAACAACAAATGGCTGCTTCTTCCTCTCTTCTTTTTCTTTTCTTTCGTCTTTTTTTTTCCTAAAATATTTCAAGACATTTTTTTTTTAATAAACATAGGTGGTCGAGGGTGAGAGATTCGAACTCAAATATGTACAACATAATTAAAGGTCAAAAAAATATATTCGGTCGTTGTAAAAGTAACGAAAAACCTAGAAGGAAGAGAATTAATCGTTACCTATTAAAATTGGAGGACTAAATTCATAAATTTTGTATAAAGTAAAAAACGATTAACTATTCAATACTATCAATATTCACGCACTAAATTTTAAACTATGGAGATTTAAATATTTTTTGTTTTTTGTTTTTGAAAAGAATTGTAACTATTCAATACTATCAATCATCATGTTGGTAACAATTGAGTCTTTCAATAACAATTCAATTCTATAGTTTAAATTTTGTAATAATTTAGTACCTACCAAGAAAATTCTCATCAAAATTGAGCGTCAATTTTTATTATATAAAGATTTTTTTTTTGTAGTTTATAAATAAATTTAATCATTCATCAGTTTATCGATCTACATATATAAGAATTTAATAAAAAAAATTCACAATAAAGACTAAATCGTTACAAGTTTAAATTTCGTTATTTTTGAAAATTTAAGAACTAAATCGTTATTCCAACAAAAGTAGAGGGACCAAAAGTGTTTTTCAACCAATTTATATAATATTATAAAATAATGACTATAAAAAATTTATGATATATATGTTAATACTAGATATAAAAAAATGTTGATACTAATAAATTAATTAATAATATTTTAGATTGGAATAAATATTTAGCTGGAAACTAGATTAGTTGTGAAATACACATTGAACAATTTTGTAACTTGAGGTTCAATTTCCAAATTTTGTACCAAACACATATTTGAAAACATACTAATCAAATGCATTTTAATCTTTGAAGTAATTCTCAATTTGATTTTTAATCTTTTGGAATTTTGGATAAAATTGTGGGTGTCATATATGCCAATTACCGACAAACTATGCTCGTTGTAGCGCCTTTAAAAGTTATTAATAATACCATAACCAACTTCATAAGGAAATTTAAGCCTAAATACTATTTTGATCTATGGTATCGTGTTATAATTACGGTGAAAAAATGAGATAGCTACTTTTTAAAAGTATATAGATTAAATAGACAAAAGTTGAATCATGAGTTCCAAAATTAACCAAATAAAAAAAGTAATAAAATAGTACGAAAACTAATATTATATAATCAACCCAAAAAGAGACCTATAAAATAATTTTCGTTGATTGGAATTTGATTATTGGACAGAATTTTTGTTATCATAAATAAGAATCTCACCTACCCATCAACTTTGTGATTGGGAATTAGATTCGCTTTCTCCCCATCAAAACGGCATCTAATTCCCTTGGCTAACTCGGGACACCACCATTTTTTTCAATTTCCCAATTTTAATTCCTAAATTATTTAAAAATATATATTTTCGATACCAAATATTATAGGGTCAAGTCGCTGCTTTGTGAGATTAGTCAAAGTGTTTGTAAACTAGTCTATACACTCACAGATATTAAAAAAAGATCAATTAGAAGACTATTTAATAAGTCAATAAGCTTTAATGTTCTCTCTGGGAGAGATATCTAATTTTTTTTTTTTTTTAAAAAGGCTTGTAATCGTCTATAAGACATTTTTCAAGATTTCTCGGGATATTAGATACAAAATTGAAAGTATAGAACCTAGTGAAAGTGTACGCTTTTTTAAAGTTTAAAGGCTTGTTAAATATAATTTTGAAAGTTAAAGATCTATTTAGACACGATTATGGAAATTCAAAAATTAAACTTATTATTTAACCAAAAAAAATAAAAATTCATCAAATGCACTAATATTTTGAAAACAAAAAAATGTTATATGGTTATTATTTTGTTGTTTGATTAACTTGAATTCATTTAGTTTGGACAATATTTTGATGGTTCCATCCCCGCCCTGCAATTATTCAAAAAAAAAAAAATTGAATTCATTTAATAAAAATTTTTCTCATTACTTCTTTCTAATTTTGGAAACTAAAAAGATAATTTGTTTTCAACTTTATTTTATATTCCAAGAATTAGTTCAAATTTGAAAAATAAAAATAAAAATAAAAATAAAACAATTGTTGTTAAATCATCTAAAGTAGCAAAATGATAAGGGAGCCTATAGATACTAAGTATATATAAAAATATAAACTATAATCATTGAAAAAAAAAGTTTTGTTCGGTTACAAATTTCTTCCATTTTAGAATATATTTTAAATAATTCTATTTTAGGACAACAAATTCGAGTATGTGTTCCAACCTCCAACTTCAAAAGATACGATTATATATATATATAAGGAATATATATCAATTACCAACTTTAAACTAGATTATTAGACTTTATTTTATAAAAAAAATCTTACTTTCTCGTATCATATTGTACTATATCGAAGGATAGAAATTTATTCGAATTAAATTATATGGACTAAAGAGATACAGTTATAATATATATATATATATATACACGGTTATATTCTTTCTCATAATTTAGTTTTTAAACAAATATATATTATTTTGAAAAATGCACCACTCTTATGGCAATTTATGAAAATAGCCCAAAGTGGAGAAATTTTGCTTCATATTGGGTTTCCTTGCCAACAAAAAGTGCCCACGATTTCGTTTGGGTATAAACCCACAAATTTTTTGTGCTCCTCTATTTAATGCTCATCCCTACACGTTTCATTTAGCGGCAATCTCTCTCTCTCTCTCTCAAATTTTCTCCTGATTTCTCCACAGTAAGCAACTTGTTTGCTGTTATAATTTATGCTTGTTTAGTTTTCTTGCATTCGTTAGATAAATTGCGACTTGGGTGGGATTTAAATCTTGGGAATTGCAGGAATTTTCAAATCGGGTCTCGGCTTAGAGTGTTCTGTTTGTTTGAATGTGCAAAAATGGAGGGGAAATTTTGGGAATTCTACTCAATTTAATTTGCAGTTGCCCATTTGATAAATTTGAGAGAATAACTGAATTGGGAGCACAAATTTTAGCTTGGAGGATCATTGTATCTTATAGTATGGATATTGCTCTGGTTTGCATATAACTTATGATGTTTTTCCCAATTTAAGCTTATGAACTTAGGAATTATGCACCCATGTCTTGGTTATGTTTGTCACATGTAATAAAAAAATTGGAAATGAACAGTTTGGTAACGTTTTAGTTTTCTGTTTTTAAATATTATGCCTACCTTCTCTCAATTTCTTTGGTATGTTTTTTTCACCTTTTTTGCCAACAGGTTCGAATTCTAAAGCAAATTTAAAAATCAAACTTCTTTGTTTAGTTTGCAAAAGCTGGCTAGATTTTGAAAACGTTTATAAAAGGTAGATAGCAAAACAAAGAAACAACTAGGTGGAAGCTATGTTTATAAGTTGAATTTTCAAAGCAGAAAACCAAAAACAAAAAGGTTATCAAACTAGGCCTAGTTTTTCCACATTGATATCCAAGTTTAATTCATATTTAATGTATGCAGGTACTTCTCATTTGAGCCATATTTAGTTGTGGCTCATGGACGCAGTTGTGGGTGTGGGAACCAGCGAGGTACTTGTAGCTGTTTTTTCATCTAAAACTTAGGTTCTTTACTTTAATTTATTAGGGTTCTCACCTAAATTTGGTATGTCCTCTTGCACAGCAATAATGTTCATTGGGTATAAAATAACTTCTCACAATTTACTTGTATTTGCTGCTAGTTTATTGGAAACTTTTATTCATTGATATGCTGTATTCTATAATTTGATGCATCAGATAGATTATAAGTATTGGTCTGACACATTTATTTTCTGTTACTTGATGATATATTATGTATGTCATTGTTGACTGATATATTTAAGCTATTTCAGGAAGCAAATAGAAGTGTAGTTGAGAAGAAGCCAACAGTTGTTTTTGTGCTAGGTAAGTGTAACACTATAAGAGTTCAGACAAGATGAGAATATAGGATATCTCTTGCTTGTTTGAGAATTCAGTGGCTGAAAATTTCTAACTACTTCTTTATTGGGTGATTCTCTGAAGAATTTTATTGTAATGTATCTTCCTTTATTTATTCCACTTTTCCACTATTCCAATGGCTTTGCCTTTATCGTATGTTGGGGGTTTCTCCTGTATGATTTCTGAACCATATTGGGAAAAGGTTTTCAGTGAGCTCCAATTTGATACACATTTTATTTTGGATTTTCTGTTTTTGAAAATAAAGCTTACACCCCCGTGTTCTTCTTCTTTTTTTTCTTTTGTGATCTACTTTTTAAAAACATTTTCAATTTCTAAGCCAAAATTTAAAAACTATAAAAAGTAGTTTTAAAAAACTTGGGTTCTATTTTTTAAGATTTGACTAAGACTTCAAATGCGTAATTAAAAGTGATGAGAAACCTACCAGATAAATGATGAGGAAATAAGCATAATTTTTAAAAGCAGAAAACAAAAAATGAAATTGTTATCAAATGGACTTCAAATTTTTCTTCTCTGTGATGTTGCTCATGAACTGAATCTGGTTTGTTGACAGGTGGCCCAGGAAGTGGGAAGGGCACACAATGTGCATACATTGTTGAGCACTTTGGTTTTACTCATCTTAGTGCTGGTGATCTTCTTAGGGCAGAAATGAAATCTGGTTCTGCAAATGGGTATGTTATATGCAAGCATAGATTTGAAGGTTCATGCTCATAGCTTGCCTACATGCTTGACAGGAAACTGATAGAATTTGAACTTTGGACAATATCTGCAGTTTAATGATCAAAAGTATGATTAATGAAGGGAATATTGTTCCTTCAGAGGTAACGGTAAAGCTTCTCGAGCGAGCAATGGAGGAAAGTGGTAATGACAAATTTCTTATTGATGGTTTTCCGCGTAATGATGAAAACCGTGCTGCTTTTGAGGCTGTTGTAAGCCTTCTTAGCCACTTGTTTCCCCTTTTCCTTTCAAACTTGTTTGATTTCCATCGTAATACCTTGTTCAATAGTATGTTCCATTATTTCTAACTAAGTTTTTTCAAGGTTTAATTATAAATTTAGTCTCTAGACTTTTAATGTTATGTTTAATGGGTCCTTGAATTTAAAAAGTATCTAATTAGTCAATAAATTTTCAATTTTCTATGTAATAGGTCTCTGAACTTTAGAAGTGTCTAATAGATGATTTATCTAATTGATGATTGAACTTTAAATTTTGAGTCTAATAGGTTTGTGCATTTTAACAATGTTGAATAAGTAAATGATCTATTCAATACAAAATTGAAAGTTAGATACCTATTAGATATTTTTAAAATTCAAGGACCTATTAGATACAAAATTTAAAGTTTAGATATCTATTAAACATATTTTAAAGTTTTGAGACCTATTAATCACAAAGGGACTAAACTCGTAATATGAACTTCTTTTAATTATTATCTTTAAATTGTTGTGCTCGTCAATTTCTGATGGTTTCCAGACTGGTATAGAGCCAGCTTTTGTCCTGTTCTTTGATTGTCCTGAAGAGGAGATGGAGAGGCGTATCTTAAATAGAAATCAGGTCTGCCATTATGCCCTCTTTCTGAACTGAAAAGTTACTATACTTTCTTCTAAAAATGATATTTGTCATACAAATATGAAAATTATCTTTGGTGATTCAGGGAAGAGAAGATGATAATATCGAGACAATTCGGAAGCGTTTCAAGGTTTTCTTGGAGTCCAGTCTCCCTGTAGTTGAGTACTATGAATCTATTGGGAAAGTTCAGAAGGTAAGTCTGACAAATATTGGTTCTAAATTGTCTGCACTTTTTAAAATCTATTCCCTTTAGTATACATTTGGCATTTCCCTTTCAATTCTTAGATTGATGCTGCAAGGCCAGTTGAAGAAGTATTTGAGTCAGTTAAAGCTGCTTTCACATCAATAAATGAGAAGGTAAAATCCCATGGTCGTGCCCAGCAGAAATTTACTCTATTAAAACTCCAACTAAAATGGACAATGAACCTTTTCCGAAATGGGGTTTTTAAGAGATATTGATTGGGCATGTTTTTGAGACAAATAATGGCATTTGCTGATTCAAAATTTAGAAGTCGAATACCACAAATATGAATTATGGACCTGAAGCTTGATTTGGACTTCATTTAAATTAGAAAATAAATTTATTCTCGAGCTTTTAAGATTGATCGTTACAATATGTTTTATCATGATCATTTCACATATCACTTCTGTAATTTGTGTGAATAGAAATAGATGCTAAATGAGAGATGAAAAAGCATTTTTCCACTGCGGTTTTTGTGTAAGAAATGCATAATTCTTCTACTGTTACCAATGTGGGAAATCAAATAATTAGGGCCCTTTGGATAACAACTTCGTTTCTAGTGTTTCTCTTTTTAAAAATTATGCTTGCCTTCTTTTTTCGTATGTTTAACACATTTCTTGAATTTATAATCAAACAAAGAAACACATGGGAGGAAGTAGTGTTTATAAGTTTCATTTTCAGGAACATAAAACTAAAAACAAAATGGTTATTAAACTTCCTTATTATTTGAGTCTAGATACATCTGGTCTCAATTCTGATATTTGTATAGTTTCTCCAAGAGATACAGTTTTCTTCTAATTTGCAAAACACTCTTTGCCATAGATTTAAGCTAAAGTTTGTAATATAAAATGTTTGGTGTTCATATATATATATTTATTATATGTTGTACGTGTATTATACTTTACATTGTGGAATGTGTTTCCAAATTGGACCATGTGACATTAGTTTGAGAAGTTTGAAGATCGATGACGAAAATAATGAATTTTAAGGGCTTGGGTATAAGTAGGTTTGGAATGTTTTTTACTGCTCTTACTACAGTTATTTTTTCCAAATCATTACTCGTTCTAGAACTGTATTCAATTCCTGGATGAATTCTATTTAGCCTCGAGATGATTCAGAGAAGAACTATGTGTTGTTTTTCACTGCAAGGATGGTGCTTTTCTGTATATGATTTTTTTCCCTGCTGTTGTAATTGACCAAAGGCACATCATGTGGTTTTTGTCAATGATAAGTGTAATTAAAAATTTTTGTATGCCCCTTAGTTACCAACCGTTGTATTGGTTAGGACGGTAAAGAATTTAGAGAATAATATAGACGGTTTTGTCTGATCCGACCCGACATGACTCAACCCAACCCGAGTATAACAAGGGAAAAAAAAGAACCAAAGAAGAAACATTTTTGTACGTGTAAGAGAAATAATTGTTCCAGCTATACTCCAGATTTTTTTTTTAATGACATCTATTTGCATCTTATGCAGGAAGATTGAGATTGATGCTTGTTTCTATACCAATTCCATTCATGTTATTCTCTATTGAGGTAATCCCCTTAGGAAATAAGTTCAATAATCCTTCTTAGAGGTTTTTTCTTATGATTTGGGCAAGAGTTTGGTAACACTACTATAAGAACCTAATGGAGGTTGCCCGAACATAGCACAACTGGTTAAAGCATACATATCCCCAGTAAAAAAGTCGGTTCGAATCCGCAATCCCACATATTGTACTAAAATAAAATAACACAATGAAAATCACTCCCACACGTTACTTGGAGAGTTTTATACATGCGGTGGCAGATAATAATTCTAATGGGTGTTCTGATATGAGGATATTCTTTTCCTTAGTTTTTCCCTAGTTTTTCCCATTGGTTTATGATAAGTCGTAATTCGATTTGATGTAATTTAGCCATGTGCATTGCAGATTCCTCCTTAGTTGTCTATTATTCAGTGTGCATTTTATTGTGCCATAGATTTTGGGTTAAAATTTGCCCTGGTTGAACTTTAGAAGTTTTGATTTTTAGTCCCTAAACTTTTATTCACTCCCATTTTGGTCCTTTAACTTTAAAAATCTCAATTTTAGCCCTCTAACTTTTATTAAACTCCACACGTAGATATGAACAACGGATAACTAATGCTGTCGAAATACATTTTCAATCATATAGATTAAGATTCTTATGATATGGACTAAACTGAAGTTTAATGACTAGAATTGAATCTAAGAAGTCAGAGGACGGCTACTCAAAAGTGAACACAAGTTTAGCGACTAAAGTTATAACTTTAAAACTTTAGGGACCAAGCTTATCCATAAACCTGTATTTGTAGTTTGATGTTCTTTTAGATGCTATGAGTAAAACTAGAGCGTTATAATGGTACACCAAATAGTTGCAAAAGCTTAGGCATATATAATTGCTAACTTGAATATAGTTCAACTGGTTAAGACATTATTACCTCGACCAGAAGATCGAATCCCTCAGGTTGAACTCAAACAAAGGAAAAAAGGTGGACATATATAATTTCCAATTAATTATGAGGTGGGACATGAATGCTTGCTTCTTGTACATATTTGCCCATGTTTGTTGTTATGGAAGTTTGTAGTTTAATGCTTGCTACATATTACTTCTTGAATTTCTGATGGCTTTCTTTGTCTGCCAGGCTTGCAAGCCAAGTCCTGTCAGCCTTCCCAAATCATTCATAAACTTGTGCTGGCAGAACTTTGAAAGTTGTTTGTTTTATATACGACAGGGTTTAATAGGTTCGTAAATGATTTGATAGTGCACCTTCTGGATATATCGTTGATGTATCGAGGAAGAAAATGTCACACAACTATTAGATGTTCGAGAGGTTTGATTCCTATGCTAGTAGTAAATACTTTCACACCGCTCTCACTTTCTCTCCCTGATGGTGTGGGCTTGCCTTTCGCGCAAAGCATCATGACATTTTCTCGTGCAGTCAAATTTGACTCTTATTTACGTAACCTTAAATTATAAGTTTAGTATAGGGAGGTTTTGATGATTTATTTGTATATTGTTTTTCGTTAATTTGACTCATGTTTATTATTTTTCTCAAGAGAGTTGAGAAATTATAAGAGTTCATTAGATTTGTGAATAGCAATGAGTTTTTGAGAAATAAAAAAAAATAGAGTTTCTTATCTTTTATTTTTTAAATTTTTTATTGCAACATTTTAAATGCATTTAGTAAACTTCTTAGTTTTGCATTTTTCCCCCTTAAAAGAATTGATTGGTTGGAAACAAGCTTAATATTTTAAAACATAAAATAAAAAATAAAATTATTGTCATGGTTTTAAATATCACACGTTATAAGGAATAAATCGACATTTCCATTGTAGTAAAAAAAAAGTCGACAAAATATGAAAAATATTAACAAAATATCACTAATATATACATAATATTAATGTTAATCATTTTTAACTTATTTAAAAATAAGAAAATGTTTATTTGTTAATTTAAATATTTTTTACGATTTTTTAATTTCCATCTGACACTCAAAACCTTGGTTATTGTTAACCAATCGTCAAATCAATAAATCTTTGAAACATGCATCTCACATAAGGTCAATCCCATTGGCAAGGGGTTCAGATCTCTTTGTCATACAGTGGGTGCAGATGCTTAGAGATATTTTAGATTCTACCTTGAAATTAATAACAACAAAATGAAATTGAGTTTAATATGGTTAGTCAGTAGATGAAAAACAGGCCACATCCAAGAGATCTTGAATTTGTTGGGAGAATACCCAATTCATCTCCTCCTCCACACTAAAAAAACCAAGCTCAATTAAAAACGCTAGCAATCCCTATGATCGAAGTTATATACTCTATAACATAAGTCTTATCCACACAAGGAACGACGAACATACGAAAGCTTTGAAATATTAGGTCAAACAATCCCGAATTAATGTCGCCTCAGCAAGCATGAGTTATACAAGATTATTATAATAATTGACGACTTTATTACATTATGATCAATGTGGACTATTATAAACCATTGTTAGGTTCTCTCTCTTTTTAATGTGGGATCCTTAACGTGCCCCCTCGAGATCGTGGTTTTTTTTGGCTCATCTATCTAGGTCAGATCCCATTTTTGAACCGGTTGCTCGTTTGAGCATTTTGGGCTCTGATATCATATTAATATTCATGATGTTCCATCTCAAAACCAATTGGTGAGAGGAGTAGTCCATGTCTATTATAAACAGATCTCCTTTCTTTTCAATGTGGATCAAGTCTCAATTCTGTGGAAATATCGATGGAAATATCGATATCAATGGATATTTCTGTAAAAGTTAGAAAAATTAAGAAAATTGTAAAAAATATTGAAATTAACAAATAAACATTTTCCTATTTCTAAATGAGTTAAAAATAATTAATCTTAATATTATGTATATATTAGCATGTATATATTAGTGGTATTTTGTTTATATTTTTCATATTTTGTCGATTTTCTTACCATGATAGAAATGTCGATTTACCCTTCGCATCGATGTCGAATCCATAAAAATATGGATATGTCGATGAAAATGTCTACATGTCGATGGATATTTAAAATCATGATTATGATGCATAAATTCTACCGAACCAGGAAAACAAATTTTACTTGGGTTGTTGAAAATGTCGATACAGCAAATATTGGTACATACTTACTATAATAAATAATAATAATTTATTGTGTTTTCCCCTTAAATGTTAAAAAATAAAAATGATAAATATTGCAAAATTTGGTTACTCAGTGTAAATAATAATTTATAGGAAAATTGATAATGACAAAGTTATCCAATAGGTCCTTAAACCTGTGTTTTCAACCCTAATTTGTAATCTAAAATCACAATAATTTTAAAATCATTTTTTTTTTGTTTGGTTTGGAAAGAAATAAAAAGAATTTAAAATTAAATAAATTTGAAATAACATTTTGTTAAAAAAAAAAATTTCTTTTCCAAATATGAATATGATAGATAACAAATTCTAAATTTACCCTATTTGGAGAAATTTTTTATTTTATTTTTATTTTTAAATTTACTCATGTGACAGCCATATAAGTATTTTATATATATATATTTTTAGGCAAATTGTTATATTACAATTGATTTTCTCTTTTGCATTCCTTCTACAGATATTTTTATGGATCAAACATTCAATCAAAATACAAGACTTTCTATTTTGTTCGGTATATTTGGATGAATCTTTTTTTTATTACCTTTACCGCAAGGAGTACATACTGATTACTGCTATAAATGGACCAGATTAAATTAATAAATTAATTATAAGAAAGGAAAAAGAAAAAAAAAAAATTGGAGATTTTGACAGGTAAAAACGAAGTGCGTATCAAAGTGTGTAATTTGGCGGGGGGCTGAAACCTCGGGGAGAAGAACTCTGTGACTGAATCTGCAAACTCTGTACCCGCGAAGAACAAATCCATCTCAATTCTCCACACTCTTCATCAAGCTTTGATCTTCCTTCTCGATCCATCTCTCTCTCCAATCCAATCGCCCAATTCGATTCCCCCAACTCCCACTCTCCGTTTCAAGAAATTTCCCCTTTTCTTTCCGATCCCGATCGAGCTCCAATTCCAAGAGGAAAAGTGGCATCACACGAGGCCAATGTTCGGATCTAGGTTTTCCATTTTCGGAACCGGCGGTGGTGCTGATAGCGTTGACAAGTCGGCCAAGAGCGAGGTTGTTCCTGGCCTCAAGCTTCGCTCCGACAAGGATGTGTATCGCCCTGGCGATCCCGTTGTTGTCACTCTCGAAATTTCCTCTTCTGTCCCTCAATTGGACTGCTCCCTTTTGATCGACCGGCTTAGTTTTGAGATTAAAGGCCTCCAGAAGTTGGACGCTCAGTGGTTTAGCACTCAGAAGCCGCTCCATGGATCCAAACAACGGAGAGGTTCGGCTTCCAACTCCTTTTATAATTCATTTCATCCGAAGGCGTTTGTTGGGTTTCAATTTCATGTTGTTTTGGTCTTGTCAGGCGAACACGTTTTCATGGACTGCTCTGTACAATCAGTAGTTTCAAATCAGATGGTTCCCGCGGGGTCTCCTAAGTCATGTAAGCCTATGTGTTCGATGCACTGCATTTCTGTACCTCAGTTGCTAACAATAATATGCCCATTGTGAACTTGAATATTATTTATTTAATGTTTTTTCCTTCATCATTCCCTTAGTTTAGTTCATAGTACATTACATTTCATTTTGAACTTTAGGCGTACTATCAAATGACATATGGGTACGCTTCAGTGAAAGATTGTGGGGATTTAGGACAAGAATTGCCTTCTTCCCGACGTCATAATGACCGATAAATTAAAATTCTAAATAGCCAGTACTAATTGGTGGGACGTTAAAATTAGTTGGAAGTTAGATACTAGTGATATATTTTCCACTGCTACTGTTTGTGGTCATTTCACCATGAATATATCTCTAATCCATAGAAGTTTACCGGAGGGGGGAAGGAAATCTAAATTACTTGTTTGTCCACTGCCAGTTTATCCAAGAATTGTAGTGACACATTTAATGTTTCTTGGTGTGATCCTGCCTTGGTGCAACATTGATTTGAACAATCTTTGGTTGGGAATTCTTTTAAGCTAAAAGGAAAGGTGCTTAGGAACTGTGCGATCAAATTTCTCTTTTGGGAAGTTTGGTGGGAAAGCTTTTAAACAATTCTCACGACAAATCTAGAAATGAGGAGGAGATTTGGGATATTATACCTTTTTGAGGTCTCCCTCTGGAGATTCTTGGTAAACTTTTCTATAACTTTGATTATGTTTCTTTATTAAACCAATTGGAGGAATTTTTTGTAATCCCTTTGGCTTCAGTTGGTTCCTCATCGCCCTTTTGTTTTGTCTTTCTTTCAATCGAATGGAAGTTTCTCTTGTTTCCTATAAAAAAAAAACTTGAGGCATCTCCAATCTTTGTTAAACGCTAACTGATGCTTGTAGGGATGGTTGTTTAGGTTGAAAAAAGCAACTTCCGTTTGGTCCATTTATAAGGCATGAATCATGATTCTGGTGCATAGTAGGTTCGAAGATTGGTAGGTGATATGGCACATTGTAGGCATAGCCATCGCTACATCTGTTTATTTTTAGATTAGGTTCTCTGTGAAGCTTTTCAGTTTAGTTTTGATGCTTCCGAAGCCACCCCCTCCTGTTTGGGATAAGACTTCTTTCATTCTATAAAGAAAAAATTTCTAACAGGGATGGAAAGAAAAAGTGACAAAACCTACCACCAAAGGAGCTCATAAAAAAGCTCTTAAAAAAAAAAAAGAAAAGCTCTTCCATTGGAATGAATTTAAATAAAGCACCCACCACAAGTTGTCTTATATAGGATTTCAATTGTATTTTACTCCTCCCTGCTTAATTTACCATTCTGATTGTAAGTACAGTAGTTCTGAAAATGTTCAATGTTATTGCAGATGTCGTCCGAACAACCCTTCCTAGCCGCATACCACCATCTTACAAGGGTGCTACTATTCGATACATGTATTATGTTAAAAGTACATTACAAGGACGATGGCTAATACAGGAAAATGGTCGATCTCATAAAGAGTCACTGAAGGATAAAATAGATATGGTTCGTTTTCATTAACTTAAAATTCATTGTGTGATTTGATGTGAATGGAAATTAGGTGCATTGCAGCTGGGAATTTGTTTTTGCCTTTTGTTTGTTTTTTTCATGAACAATGCTCTTCTCACTCTTACTCCGTGTTGTTACACATTTGTGGTGCTTTCTCTCTTACATTTTCATGTCTGAATCACTCTCTCTCATACAGTCAACAAGTTTTTCTTTTTAGAACGCGAATCATAGGCTTTTAGAATTTTTTAGATGCATTACTCTTTCCCTGGTATCATAATATTTTTAAAATTCATCCACAAAAGGATTATTTATTTATTTTGGATCAGAAACCTGTATATTCCAGCAGAAAAGGAAGGAAACAAACTAAAGGCTGGGTAGAGGGACCCCACCCAAAAACAAATAAACAAAGGCTACAAAAAGATTATTTATGTTCTTTTCTTATTGGAGAACAAAATTTAAAATCTAATGTGTTTAAGGATAGTTGTTAACATTCTCAAGCATAGACAAGAAACCTTTACATGCATTTTTTTGGAGTAGAAAATTGGAGGAGAATACTTGGCCTTTTCCTTTTCATGCATATTTCCTATATTTCTTGCTAAGATATTAGCTGGCTTCATTTATTATCTATCCAGGAAGCTCGGATTCCATTACAAGTGTGGGTCACTCAGAAAACCAGTGGCATGTTAATGGAATTGGAAGAAGGTCAAAATGGTCGAAATGATGGTGATCTTTCTTCTTTCTGTTTGTTGCAGTTATTGCATTTTTATTTATTTTTTTATTTTTTTATACAAGAAACAACTTTTCATTGAATATGAAAAGGATATTGCAGTTGTATTTTTAATTTCATCCATCTAAAAGTTCAAGTATTATGCAACGTGGTTTATGGAATTACATAGATATGCGCACAAGCCTATGTAGATATGGTTACTTGGATAGAGAGGGAACAGAGTTTATTGGGTCAATATCGTGTACAAACATGAATATAACTTGGAAGAATAGGAGCTTGCTGAAGTTCTTTCCAATTGTATAAAATGCCCTTTAAGTTCTACATAATCAGAATCCGTTATGGTACAAAGGAAAGAAACAAGGGATTCAAGTGACTTATAGTAGGCTTTTGAACATTTTTGAAGGAAAACTGAGGGATTCAAGTGACTTATAGGATTCTCATTTAACTATTTTTGAAAATCTATGACCCGTTAGATTCTAGAATTAATTGATCTCTCTTTTGAAGATCATTACTCAGTATGATCTGACCCTCGAGGAGTGGCCTTGGTGGTAAGGACTTGTAATGTTTGGAGATCCTCTCCAAAATCCTGCATTCAAGCCCCAGATGGAAAAACTTGGCTGATAGTAGTCATGAAGATCCTTTCCATTGGCTGGATGTACTGTAGTTTTTAGGTGTTTACTTTCATCTGGATCTTTCTTCATTTTCGATGCATTTGAGCTGAGGTTCTCCAGCATATTAGGTAGCATATTTTAGTGCTTCTGAGTTCTGACAGAAAAACTCTTTATTTTCTGGTTCACTTTTATGTTTGACATATATAGGATGATATTAACCAAATAGTGTTGGCATATAATTTGTTTTCAACCTTTGGAGAATACGGAATTGACAAATATCTATTAATTATTCATTGCCTGTAATTATGTTTCTTATTTAAGTAGTGCTAAATCTGTTTGGTTTGTACAGCATAATTATGATAGAATGAGAATTTTGCTTGCTTTTCAAATGTTTTCCATGGCTTGTTACTTCTGCAGCCTTTCAAATGGATGTATTTTGGAAAGAGATGGAAGGTGACACTGATTGGGTATGCTACTTACTAATTACTATTGCATAATATCATTTTGTTCTTGTCCTCTCTAGGTTCTTATTAGGTTGGAAAAAGGCTAAATATATATTATTCGGTCCTTGGAAGTATGCACCATTTTTTTAAACTTGTCTGAGTCTCTCAAATTTTTTTTTTTTAAACTTGTCTCTTCACTAGTTCTTTTGGAAGGGGGACCTTTCTTCCATAGTTTGTGTTTCATTTTTCATCAATACGTCTTTTGTTTCATATGAAAAAAAAAAAATTCTACTTATGGACACCATTGAAATTGAATAATGGGATGATGGTGTGACATTAAAATTTTTAAATCAAATACCTTCTTCAGTTGTGACATTCTTAATATGATATGATGTTTTGAAAATAGTAGCTCCTATATTTTTAAATGGCACGTAATTTTTATGTATTTTATTTCAATAGCATGTTTTAGTGTAGGGATTTGATTGAAAGTTTATGAAATAATTGAATTTTGTGAAATTGAAAAATGATGTATACTTTTCAGGGACAAAATGGTATACATTAACAAAAAATTGTAGATCATTTGTTACTCATATCCTCCGTGCTCGTGAGTTTATATATCATGTGTAGTTAGTATATTCTTCAAAGTAATGCCTTCTAATTTGATATTAGAGTTATGAACCCCAATTCAATTTATTTGATATAAATATACGACCAATTCCTTACAGATTAGAGCAAATGATATATATGATGGCATTGATGAAGGATATGAAAGCTCAAGGGATGAGATCTCATCGGTTTCATCATACAATCCCATGAGAGAATCTTTTCGCAGAACCTTTGGAAGTTCACCATCGTTACAATCATCTCCTGTGAGATCTTCAATAAGGGATGCTTCTTTTATTGAAGGAGAGCGATTAAGTTTTTCTAATGCCGTGCGTCCTCGGGTCTCTGTTGCTGAGGTCCTATATGATTCTGCTGGTGGGTTTATAATGCATAGGCTATGTTTTGCTCAAGGCATTTGACTGATCATTTTTTTCCTCTGCTTGTAAAGTTGTCCCGATTAAATTTTTTGGTAATTGAACTCTCTCTCTAAAAGGAAGATTATAAGTATGTCTTTTTGGATATCCAGAAAGAATGACTGGGGTTATTTATTTTGACAGCTTCTATTTTATGCAATTAGGGGTTTTAATGTTATTTAGTCTAGAGACAACAATTCTCTGACTGACAGTTTTCTATGGAAACAGATGTCGCAACACCTCAGAAGTCATCTGCAGTTGTCTCTCCCAGCCAGGCGTTGAAGTTTGGGAAGCATCAGTCAACAGATGATGATCCTGGAGTACCATCTTCACCAATGGCTAGGACTGTTGAACCTGTAGCATGTAAATTATTAACTTTCTTGTCTCCCTCCCTTGCGGAAAAGAAAAAACTAACTCCCTTTGTAATTCTACTTTTTGCAAAAGGCCTTCTCATTATTATTTAGTCTCATTTATTACACGTCATGATATTATCAAACAAAATGGAAACTAATTATCTGCAAAAATTTCTTGCAGCAGAAGGCTTTCTTCGAGGAAGATCTTACAATATCAGGATAGACGACCAAGTTTTGCTTAGGTTTTGCCCCAAGAATTCTGATTCGACCTATTATTTTAGTGACATGGTAAACGTTTCTTCCAATCTGACTTGTTGCTTATTTTAATTACTTACCTCCTTCCAAGAAAGAAGGAAGAAGGAAAAATAAAAGAGAAAATATGATAAAAATAAGGACCAACATGCTCCAATTTTGAGCCGACTAAGAGAGAATCCCATGCTACGATGGTTGACTATTTTCTTCTTTTACACATTTGATGAATCAGATAGGTGGAACTCTTACCTTTTTCCATGAAGAAGGATCTAGGAGATGCCTTGAGGTAACTATGGTATTTTAATATGGAATAATTGGTCAGGGCAATTATCTAGTTAACTTGGGTAGTTGATGCATTATTAGGTCTATTCTTCCAGGTTTCAATAACTTTGGAGACTTCAGAGACTGTATCTCACCGTTTTGTCCATCCATCTCGGAGAAATTCTCCAACGATTGTGAAGGTATTTTCAATATTTTGAATGTGGAGAAGAGTGCCGTTATTTGCTTGTGTCTCTGTAGGATCTTCTGCGTTGATGTCATCTTGGTTTCTTGGGTGCTTTTGCTTGAGAAACATAGGAATTTTTGGCTCAGCCTTTGAGGATATAGTTGATTTCTTTTTCTTGGCTTCGAGATGGTCCTCTTAAGTCTTATCCAGTTTCTTTTGTAATTTATGTTCTTTTTTATTTTTTTTTTTCTTTTTTGATTGGAATTCTCTATTTGATATTAAAAACAATGAGAGACTGTTTCTGTAATCCTTTTTGGTTCTACGCTACTCATACATTTTTTTGGAAGAATAAAACGTTCCTTAAAAAAGGAATGTATATTTGTCATGGTGTTTAATGTTGTGAAATGCATGGATGTGGCTACAACATTTTCTATTGTCTCACCAAGAGATAATGTTTATATATAATTCCCCTCCCCAGTTAATACTTGTGATATTGTGGTTGGTCGAAGTATCGGTTGAGGTGGCATGATGGGCGCATTATTTATTTTAGTTGAGTGATGGGACTTCCATTGTGTGGTATACGGATGGGAGATAAAGACAATACTTGGCTCTATAGTAAATAGCAACTTTGTCTTTAATACCATTAAATATTTGACAACTAAGAGAGTGAAATAAAAAACAAATTTTTTTTTCTAAAAAATAACGAGTTTTCAAATATTTAGTGGTGTCAAGGACAAAGTCAATCTTTACTACATAAGGAGTTCAGGGAGATAATGCGTTCAGGGATATCTGTTAGCTTTCAGTTTCTTGACATATTTGTTGGATTATATTTGTAGGTTCAGAGTGATCATTATGAGGTTGTTGCTGATTTAATTCAGACAAGCTTTCTTTTCTCCATTCCCATGGATGGACCCATGTCCTTTTCCACTCCGCATGTATCTTTGAAGTGGGCACTTCGCTTTGAATTTTTTACCACTCCCAAGAACCTGGATTGGACCAGGTATTGACTTTGCTCTAACTTCTAATATTTCGGTGAAAAAGCTTTTTACTACCGTAGTAACTTCTCTCTCTCTATTTTTATTTATTATTATTATTATAAGAAACATTATTGTATTAATCAAAAAAGGAGGAGGAACAGCCTAGGGAAAAGGGTGGAGGTCACCCCGCCCAAACAATAACAATAAACAATGAGAGGTTTCCAATTGTTTATAATCCTATAGTTACAAAAGAATTTCTTGTAGTTTATGCAAAACCACAGAGAAGTATGCTATACATTGTCAGGATTTGTTCTCTTCAAAAAGTATACTCTTTCTTTCTTTCTATTTCACAGTCACAACAAGGCATGAACTGCACAATTCCATAGGCTGTTAGCTTTGCACAATTTTATAGGATGTTAGCTTTACCTCTTAGCAGTGAGCCACCAAATTTTCCACAATCAAATCAACTTTATAGGGAAAACATTATAGGGAGGGCAGAGGGTTAAAGTCGAATTCCGAGAGAATGAAACACCAGGCCTTGTGGGCAAAATAACAATGCAAAAAAATGTGGTGGACTGATTCCTGTTTCAAGTTACACATGCTGCAAATACGATAGTACCTTCTCTCAAACAAACATAAATGAAACACTAGATTTCACATAGTAAAATAATATATTTATCGATTAGACTGAATATGAATGGATGTATACCTATAACGATACACTTGAATATTTCCACTAGGCCATATCTTCTTTCTTATCACTTATCTGAAATTGTTGAAGATTTTTCCAGATATTTTAATCCAATTTTTACCCTTTCAGATATGAGCATCCTCTTTTGATAGAAGGAAGAGAAAAAAGTGAGTGGATTCTTCCAATCACTGTGCATGCACCTCCATCTAGCACTCCGGCTGCTCGAAATGAGAGGCCTTTCTCCTTGGAGCCCTTGTGGATGCACAGCTGAAGGTAATAATAGATCATTCTTGAAATCACAGCATACGGATCAATTAGGTAGTCTAGTAGTTATCAATGTCGATCGGCTTCAAATTCACTCTGGGTTTCGGATGATTGCGAGCAGGGGTGGGGTCAGTTATTTTCATGGGGAGGGACAAAATTTTACCTTCTAAGGTTCAATTCTAAAAATTTTGAGGGTGAATGAGAGAGAGCTTTAAAATTTAATCTTTTATAGAACTTCTTTAATCTAAAACGGATCAAGATGGGGCTCACTCTGCCCCTAATTGGGAGATAAAGGATCAGTTTAACTCCTCCATATCGTGGCAAAAATCTTTCCATGATCATCTGCAGTTATGTGTAAAAGACTTAATTATGGTTGTTTATTGCTTTATGCATCACGCAGGGGTTCATGTTAAATGAAGAGCTTGTAGATTTGTCCAAGAATTTAGTATCACCTCGACGTCTCGCTGCCGTGAACTTTTCTGAAGAGACTAACATCGGGCAAATGTGACTGCCGAGCTGAAGCGCCCGAAGAAGAAGATGATTACGGAAGCATAGACCATTGACGTTGCAGCTTGACCGTGGTATGTCGCCATTGATTGCCAGAAGCATCAGATGGCATTCTTAGTTCCTCCTAATTCAAAGTGTGAATCTGATTTTGACTTTAAAAATGCAGTAGAAAAAATCACCTTTTTCTTTTCCTTTAATTTTGAATATATATCTTTGGCATTAAAGCTGCCTCCCAACATTCTTTTGAAACTGCCAAATGTGCTTAAATTCTTTATATTTATGTATTCTGATTCCTAGCTCCCAAGTCCCAACTATTCCCCCTTTGGGAAACGAATTTGGTGCTTTAGAATAATGCAAGAACCCATTTACCCTTTCGTTTTTCATTCTCTCTACTGATTACTTCCAATGAAAAGAAAAGTTGGTATGGAACTTAAAAATAAACCACCAATTCTACCAGAAACTGATTTCAATCACACAGATTGATCCATGGAGTTCATCTTCAACTGTTTCTCAGCCATTCTTACTGCTTTCGTCGTCTTCGCAGTCAGCTTCTGCACAAGGCTATTCTGGTGCTGCCCCAATGCGCCCCACGGTTCTTGCAGCGGAGATGACTACTACATCGGTTCTTGCAGCGGAGATGACTACTACATTGTGTGTCTGCAGGCGATCGTCATCGGCGAGTGATCTTGGAAGCTACCCAAGTTTGATCACTGCTTCCATGGTGAGTGTATTGATGTGTGGCTTCAGTCCCAACCCACATGCCTGCTGTGTGGAAACCATGTCGTGGTTCCATTTTCGTCTTCCTTTTGGCCATTGGCTTTGATCACATCTATTTTCGTTTCGTTTTTCCAGAGATTTTGTCACGAAACATTCTACTCTATCGATTGGATGTTGCCTTGGCTTTAAGTTATTGCTTATTTCATTCGTAATTCCAACTTACTGGAGATCAGTTCTACCGTTTTTTTTTTCTTTTTGGTCTTTTATGTGTTACATATTAGAATTGTTGGATGATCTAGGTAAATATTTTAAACATTTATGTTCTTACAAGATATTTTCAATAAATCTCTTACAAAGTATAGAGACATTTTCTATAAATATATGGTGGCGAGGGAAGGCATCAAGTTGGCAAATCATCCTCGATCTCTCTTTTTGTTTTTATTCTTCATGTTTATATAAATTACTTTGTCACTCAGTACTTTTACAACTTCTAGTCTTGTCAATATTTCATTATATTTAATACCATTCATATTAATAGCAAAGATCATATATTATATAAATAAATTCCATAGCATATGTCTAGTTTGCATTATATTAGTATTAAACTTTTTGAGTATCGGATTTTAGAAGGAAGATGAAGGAATCTCCAAAGGGAGAAATCCATTTTGAAGGCTTGCCCTCCATGCATCCTCCAAGCTCAACATTGTCTCTCCACACTCATGTGTCTCTCTTCGTTCCAAGGCGTGCAATATCCCGGCCATTCGCCACGCGCTCATCACTCTTCTCGGCAACCAGTTCTGTGACCAAATGAAATAGAAACGCGCTCGTTTATAAACTCGAAAATCTACTATCTCATGTGATCCCAATCCAGAGAATGAGATTGTTACTCTAGAAACCGAAACCCGAGCAAACTAACCTCGCAAGAGTCGACGTTCTCAAAAGAAGAAGGAACCTTCATAGAAGGAGTGATGTGATAATAGCAATCTTTTCTAAGCCTTTTTGGAGGAAACTGTGAAAAGGGAATGAAGATTGTCCCTTTTGGTGCATTTTGTTGTTCAAACTCTTCCAATCCATCTCCCACTATCCATATCTGTCAATATACTTGGCTTAAAAAAAAAAAAAAAAGCTTCTTTTTACCTATATTATTTCTCTAATTTTTTTTTAGTAAGAAAAGAAGTTATTTAATAACATGATTATTAGTCTCATGATCATTAGATTCATGGTCAAAGACTTAATTGTTTTTTTTTATCTAATAAATTATAAAAGGTATACATTAATCATGTACTTTCAAAATGTTCATTTTAGTCCCTATACTTTAAACTTTGTTTATTTTAGTTCATGTACTTTCAAAATGTTCATTTTAGTTTCTGTACTCTTGAAAAATGATCATTTTAGTTCCTATTTGTAAAATCTCAGTACAAGTTCTACATATATGAAAACCCTTTAATATAAAGTAATTGTTACATTAAAAAAATATATATTGAATGTGTAGTGAAGAGTTTGAAGTTGTGATAGAAAAAATGAGATTAAAAATAAAATTAAAAGACCAAAATGGTTACTTTTTAAAAGTATAGGATCAAAATGAATATTTTGAAAGTACAAATACTAAAATGAAGTAAAGTTAATAGTAGAAAGACCAAAATGAGCATTTTGAAAGTAGAGAGACCAATATAATATTTTAACCATAAATTTATGATCGAGAGAGATGTTTAATTACCTTATGAGTAGTAATTTTTGCAAGGACCAAGTTGTTAGAATTGGTAGTGATCTTTGATTTAAGCTTCTTGTGCTCGTTCTCGTATAAGGTAGCCACCTGAAAATTAATTACACCATATATTTACCATTTTGTTTTATGTAAAAAATGAAGATAAAAAATATAAGATAAATTTGAATTCTTTGGTGGGTGACTATTATTTTCCTTTTTTGTTTTTTTGAAAATGGATGAAAAATACCAGGGGGAAAAATTAGTAAAAAAGAAGAAGCTATGTTTAACAAATTTTCTTGAAGAAATTGTAAATGGTAGACATTAACCAATTTGCAATAAGTGCTCAACAATTCAAATTTATGATTTAATTGTTAATTAATTAAACAAATTACCATATTAGTTAGATATAATAAGACAAAATTTCTATGCAAACTGAGGATATAGCTTAACTGGTTAAGATACTTATTTTCGATCAAAAGATTGTATGTTCGAATCTCCACTTCACATGTTGTACTAAAAGAATAGTTAGGGTTTAGGGTTTAGGAGCCTGCACAATATCCTACCAATGTATATGCATATCATAAGAAGAACCGATATATGTTGTTGCAACATTACTATATTATAGCCCGAAACAAAAAAGATGAAAAATTTGAGTAATTTTTAGAGGGATAGAGAGACCTGGAAGCCCATTTGACATAGGGCATCTGCAATGGCATATGCAACCTTAGAAAGGTTTCCTCTTAGAAGGACTTGGGTTGTGCCTTTGGGGATGGTATTGACCACAATAGCAGCTGCCAAGCTACTTCCATCAACCAATTTTAGCTTCAGTTTTGGATGCCTTTTTATGTAAATTTCACCATATTCATTTAGCTCTTTTCCCTGCAAAAAAATCTCCTAAAATGCCATCAAAATTATGAAAAGTTAAGAAAACACTGATACAGACACACGAGACACTGATACAACAAGATATAGACGTAGATGACACGTTTAAAAATCTAGAACAAGAACGTAGACATAGCAAATAGACATTTGTTAAAATATACAATTTTCTTTTAAGTATATATCATTTCTATATACCATAAGGAAATTTAAAGTCAATAACTTTATTTATTTTTTGCGCTTAAAAAATGAGTTTGATGTATTTTGCTCTCAAAATTTATTATTTGTCCGGGTCTATTTCTTATACTTAACAAGTGTTCGATACGTGCCTAACAAGTGTCAGATCCATATATTCACTTTGTACAGCTAGTATAACACATACATGTATTGAGCTAATGAGACATGACTAGTTAATACGTGTCAATAAATGCCATAGTGTCAGGGTATCCGACATGAGACATATTATCCAAACTGAATGTCAGTGCTGCTTAGACTATAAGATTATTTTCTAAGGAAATGAATGTGATTATCAATGAAAATGGCATTGGTAATAATTAACTTGCCTGATTAAGAAGGCCTAAGCTTAAAGCCTTGACTCCCTTTTTATCAGCATCCAAAATTGCTGCTTCTATCAAGTTGTTGATGGCTTCTCTTCTCCATTTCATCAAATACTTCAAATCCCATGCAATGAAGTAAGTAAAAAAAAAATATATATATATTATATATATATATATATAAATTAGGGATTGAAAATGAGAGAATTAATATATATGGAATGAGGGACATAATGTAGCTGTCACTTTCGTGATCGTTAATAACCATTTCTTGTTTTTTCTTCTCTACCATTTTAAATTTAAACAAGTAAAAGTTCTCTACGAAAATTAATTTCTTAAAATAAATATTAAAAATATTACGTTTTATTTATTTTTCAAATATTTATTATCCATTTTATTAGTCAATAATGATAAAACAATGCTTTCATTTAAATTTTGAAAAAAAAAATCGGATACTCGAACAAGAAATAAACTTTGATTTCGTTTCTACTATTGACAGTTACTAAACGATTATATTTTTCAAAAGCTATAAACAAAATAACAAGATCAAATAAAAAACCAAAAAACACTATAAAACGAGTCTTAAAATTGAACTCTCGTACCAAAATACCAAACGATGAATGAATGATTCAACCCAATAATTATGGGATCATTGCTTACTTGAAGATTGAACCTTGGGAGGACCCAAGACTGCAATTTGAGGGCCTTGAAAGTGTTCCTCTCTGAGACAAAAGTTTCGCCATAGAAGCAACTGGCCAGCACGGAGCAGAAGGTGAGCGGCCACAGCAGCCGCAGCCCCTGGTCGGCGGCTAAGGGCTGCGAGGCCACACTGGCTAGGCCAAGCCTGATGTGGTATATGGACTCTGGGGTGGTCAAGTGGGTCAGATGAACCACTTGCGGCACCTCCTCTGCTCTTAACAATGAACTTTCGTACAAGCTCTCTGAACATTTGTCCACTGTCCCATACATGTAGTCATAAATTGGCATGAACAGGCTGAAGTTGCTTCTGAATTGGGTGTGGTGGAGTGAATGGTACCTACATCATCAAAGTCAAAACCCGTCTCAAAATAACAGAGGTCAAAGTCGGCTAGTGAAAGGATATGGAGCCAATGCTATACTCTATATTTAATGGGGCGAGTTAGATCCATCTTAAGGTATCTATAAATAATTAAAAACCATCTCAAAATTGTTAAAGATCCTACGTCGAAAGAAAATGAACCTTATGACATGAGCTACTTCTCTCATTGTCAATTAATTTTGAAATGAAATCCATGAATATTAATAAAAATAATAGATGCATTCCAATCCACATAGTATTCATCCTTGTACTTTTAAAAAGTAACCAACTTTGTCTCTATTAGCAAAATTTTAACATAAATTATATTCACAATGAAATCTCTTTGATACAAATTTATGGATTCATTTTAAGAAAATTTAGTGGTTAAAATTATGATGGAAAGAAATGAGATAAAAATAATATGGACACATTTTAAAAATATGGGTCGAAAGTAAAAATATGAACAGAAACCAAAATAATATTTAAACCGATACCTATTTTCTCTTAATGCCATGAATTCTCCCAGAAGAAATATAGTGGTCCAGCTCTATAATAATGCCAAAATGCTTCCTTTTTAAAAGAAAAATATAGGTGGAGAAATACTTATTACTTCACCTAAAAGGTTTTTTTTTCTTTTCAAATAGTGCTTATAATTAAATGCACTCAAACATAAATGATTCAAAGTCCAAACCAATATTTTCAATAACAAAAATAGATAATTAAAGAGAATAAATAAAAAAAACAAAAAAACTCATTTTGGGAGTAACTTTTAATTTTATGATTTATGATTTAGAAGTTAGCTCCAATCATTTTCATAGGATTGGAGTGTTAAAATTGAGTACCATAAACAGAGTTATGTAAAAACAAACCTCTTTTAATTAGGAGATGTAATTTCGATTGTGACTAATTTACGTTTAAGAATTATTTATTTATTATTCAAAAGTTTTATTTTTTCAAAATCTACCTAGCTGATATAATCATGTTAAATATAGGGTAGAGATTTGAATTTAAAACGACATTAAAAGGAAAGTTAATTACTAATGTGTTACTAGTTGAGTTATGATTTAGTTTGGTTGTTATTTTAAAAAATCACAATTCAACTATTTACTTTATTTTTAAAAAGATAATTTTTAAAAATAAAACCTAATTTAAAAAATAAGAAAAATAGTCTAGGAAATTTTTTTTTTCAGACAAAATATCTTCAAAAGTGAAAAATAAAGGTTGAACTATTTTTTTAGTTCCTATGCTTTTAACTTTATTTTTAATTAAGAAAATAAGTTTTATAGTATGACATTTTAATTTATCTTTGACATTACAAATGTTTGTTTTGAATAAAAGAAGAAAATAAATTGTGGGGACTCTCTATGACCAAGTTTTTATTTTATTTATTCATTATTTTTTTTGACATATTTATTATTAATTTTTTAAAGTACTCTATGATTGTTAAAGTTGGTTGTGATATTAAAGGGAGGTAGGTAGCATTCTTTATTATTTCCACAAAAACCCTTGAAAACCATAAATTGGAAATTTAATTTAATTACTCAACTCAAACAATATTTGTCTTATACAAAAGCACAATGCTCTTGACAAACAAAAATATATGCACATATTCCAACTTTATTTAATGAAAGATGGTTACACTACATGGCCAAGGACTTTAGCAATTATTTTCAAAATATTTGTTGGAGACTGAAAAATCTAAAAATAAATTATAGTGAGAAAAAGAATTTTAGGTAGACATGTACACATACATATTTTATCATAATCAAAAAGAAATATGTTGTAGTAAATAATAAACTCGAGTAAAGTTTGATCATGTAAAATAATTTTAAGAGTAGCCTATTAATAGTTATAGGTTCCATCTCAAAATCAATTGAAAATGAGAGAGAGTAACTTATGTTTATTATAAACTTATGTACGTTCCATTTGAATGTGAAATCCTTTAACATACCCCTCAAGATTGTAGCTCTTTTGGCTGATCGACAATCTTAATCGGATCTTATTTTTGGACCGGATGCTCGTTTGAGCTTTGAACTCTAATACCACATCACTAGAGGTTCTATCTCAAAACCAACTAGCAATAAAAGGACTAGAGCCCATAATATAAAAAGTTAGAAGGTAAAATTTTGCCCCCCAAATTTCATACTCTTCCTCTAATTTTGCATACGTCCATTTTCTTTTTAATGTGGGATCCTTAACCTGCCCCTTCAAGATGGCCCCTGGTCGGATCTCATTTTGTTTTAAGTGACTCTTGTGCTCTAATACCCATATTAATATTCATGGGTCCATTTCAAAACCAATTAAAAACGAGAAAAGTAGTCCATATCTCTCATAAACTTTTATAAAGTCAATTTTCTTCTCAACGTGGGATCTTTAACACGACTTTCACTCCTACGCTACCCGAATCATAATACTTGAGTCGAGTCGATCGAGTTCAAATAAATAATGGGAGAGAGAGAGAGACTTACGAGGGAGTGTAAATGAGAAACTTGAGAGGAGGGAAGACGGAGAAGAGCCTCTTAGGAACAAGCTCAAAGTTGCAGTGACCCATATTGTTCATGAAATCAATGAACATTACGTACAAGGAAAAAGAGGCTATGGAAGCTGTTTCTGTAAGCACTGTCACCACTAATGGTATGGCAAATAGCAGGAAATACACTATGTGTTCTGCAAATGGATGTGTCACAGCTGCAATAACACAAAAAATCACACCCCTCATCACAAATTTTATATATAATATCGACTTTCAAAAGACGTACTTTATAACGTGTTCGTTTGCCAGTATTGTTTATAGTTTAAATGATGGAGACATATCGCTCAACTAATTAAGATATTTACAGTTTCACTTGTAAAATTGAAGATTTGAATTTCCAAAAGTACGAGAGTGAAAAAAGAGAGAGAAATTTACAAGAAATGGGCTCGGTAACGATGGAAGAATGGTGGTGGGAGTGGTAGCGAGAGTAGAGAAAATGGTGATGCAGCGCCCTGTGAAACCAGTAGTATAGAAACTCCACCGGACCGGCGTGGAGGAGCGCGGTCATAACCACTCCATCGCTCCTCCAAAATGGCAAATTTCTACCCCTCGTCAATCCCATCCTCCCTACATACCACAACAATCCATTGAACAATATCTGGTCATCCCTGTAAAACCCATACAAAATTTGTTAAAAAAAAAGATTAAATATATCGTAGCTCATCCGCTCAAACTTTAGTTAGAATGATAGTTTAATATATTATCAGATCGTGTCCTGAATTCGATCCCACAACCACTCTTGTTTTCATCTGCTTAAGCTTTAATAATAGTTTAATTAGGTTCTAAATTTAAATCATTACAATATTATTTTCTCCTCGTTTTATCTTACAGTAAAGTCTGTTTTCTTAGCACGAGGGTTTGAACTTCTGACTTCATAAAAGGGAGTGATGTGAATTATCATTGTTCATGTTGTTAGCAAAGAGAATGTGAAAGAATATGAATAAAAAATAATAAATATTATTGTAACCCACCAACCAACGTAATCCTTTTGAGTTATTCTGTTTAATACGTGGTCTCAAATGAATAGAGAAAAATTCCTAGTTATCTAATGTCATTTTCCTATTTTATTTAATAATATATTAATTATGGGTCGTGGTTTAATAAAAACACGACAATTAAGAATATGAATAAAAGATTAAATATATAATCATAATCTATCAGTTTGAAGGTTTAGGGCTAAATCATGCTTTAAACAAAACGCGAGAAAGAGAGAGAGCTGACCATGGCCTCTCTCTGTCAACTTGTTCGAACTCGATCGGTTTATCGACGATTCTCTTGTTTCCTTTCGCGGTTTGGTAACGGGAGAGAGAGATCCAAATTTGATTGTGAAGCATTCTCAGAACGAGAAATGGAAATATAAGAAAATAACTCAAATCTCTCTCATGTTCTTCCCCCTTGAAGTACAAGTACGAGCTGTGAATTGCCCATGGAGCCAAGATCACAAACTACATATCAAAAAAAAAAAAAAAAAATCCATAAAAAAACACATTAATCTTAATTATCAATTGAAATAAGCAGAAGAATGTTACCTTGAAACTTCCTAGTGGCTTCCATGGCCAATCTGTGAGAATGCCTGGTTTGGAAGCCATTGTTTTTGAGCTTGAGCTTTTCCATTCCAATGGCTGCCAAAGGTTAATATATATAGAGAATTGGCTACTGAAAGTGAATTTACCAAATTGGGCAGCAGCTGCTAAGGGAATGACATGCAATGCCACTCTATCCAAAAAGTTCAATGTAGGGTAAGCCTTTTTTTTTTCCCTCCTTCTTCTTGAATTAATTAATGATATTTCATTGGTAGTTGGAGTGATCTTCTTTATTTATTTTTCATTAATAACTAATTGGTTTCTACGTTCTAATTCGGACAACTCTCATCCATACATGTTGTTGCATTAAAAAAGACGTGGTCTTGCATTATCAATATAAATTTTATTTGATGGAGAAAAAATATAATGGTATGAAATTGAGAAACATTGTTGCAATATTGTCTCTCTGATCTCTAGCGTGAATGTGTTTTCCTTTTTTTTTCATTTTAAAAAATGGATAGAATATAGTTGTTTTCTTCACAATATAAATTTTTTTAAGAGAGACGATGTTAAGTATCTCATATTGATAAAACAAAGGATTTTACATAGGTTTATAATAGACATAAGCTACTTCTATCCTCTCATTACCAATTGGCTTTAAGATGAATCCCATAAATATTAATATGGTATCCGAGTTTAAAATTGAATATTTAATTTCAAAACTTAAATTTCATATAAAACTTCTATTTTTTTAATCTAAAATTTTAGACCATAAGGAGAAAAAATAGTTACCAAATATACTTCTATTTTTCCATATTGAAAAATAAAAAATAAAAAATATGAACGCTGCAAAATAGATCATTTCGTTTTTATTACATTTTTCCTCAAAAAGAAATGTAGATTTTTTTTTTCCAAAATAAATCAGAGTTCCATGGAAAAGTTATTTATTTATTTTTATTTTTTTTCTAGGTTATAATTTTTTGTGTGAGAGACGAAAATATAGCTAGTTGCAAGAAAAGAATTTTTTTATTTTTATTTTTATTATCCTCTCTCAAAAATATAATANTTTTGTGTGGTTATAGGTTTTTATGAGAGACGAAAATATAGTTGAAAGAAAGTGATTCTTTTTGTTCTTATCTCTCTCAGCTTGACAGGTGGAGATGAAAAAATATCCGTCACGTCATTTCAATTATACTCGTATCATTTAAAAAATTTCAACAATATCAACCATTAAAACAAGTAATGAAAATTGACGTAATTCGCTAATTTAAAAGGAATAGCTATACATGTAATTAAAAAAAAATAAACATCGTAAACGTGACAAGTACTCGTAACTATTAGACAATCACTTATATCAAGTCACATTTGTCGTCTATAATTTTGTAATCCGTTCCTATATCAATATAGTTGTCTAATGATCACCGATACTTTTTAATATTTGTTGTGGTTAATCTTTTAGAAATAATGTTATATATTTCTCAATTTACTGCTCAACATACAGCTATTTTACTTTCTAACAATCACTAGTTTTAACATAAAAATTCTTAGGGACATTTTATAAGATTATAAGATATGAGTAAAAGTCAAAACTTTTTAAACAAAATGAGAATAATTGAAACTAATTTTATGGTACATTTGGAATAAATTAACCTTTAATTAAAAAGTTATATGCTCTTTTTGTGGTAGTTCAAACCCCCACGTAAATTGACACATATGTGTTTCTTACAGGAAAATGGTGTGTTTCTTAATATTTATTAAATAATTTGAAATCTCACCAATATATAGAATTTATTGAATTATTCAATAATTAAAAGGGTCTCGATCTAAGCATATAGCTCAGTAGCTAAGATGGTTACGATGGAAGCTTTTTCATCCTTTATCTACATTTGTGAACTCAAATTAAGAGATAAATAAAACTTTGAATTGTAAGTTTTTATTGGAATAAAATTCATTAGGTGTCATTAGGTATACCCTACCTTATTGAAGAGCCAAATAATTAAAAGAACGTAATTGTTGTGGAGAGATAAAAAGAGAAGAGATCAAAGCGATGGGAGGTCGAAAGGAACTCGAGAAGAAAGCACCAGCCAGGAAAGGGGGCCGACACCCGGCGACTTGAGCCGGTCCCTGACTGACCAGTTTCGCAGTTATGACAAATCTTATTAACTCGATCGTTTCGCAGTTACACTCGTATTAACTCGCCTTGATTCTCAAATCGACCTAAAACCGACAATGAAGTAACAGACCTGGAGATTTAAGATTCGACTAGGGCAAATCTAGAGGGGATTGAGATTGGACGACTATAAGTAAGAGATAAACCAAACCCCAAAAGGTATGTATGAACATCCAATTCTCTGCACTCGACTTCTGATACCAACTTAAGCATCAGAGCCCGTGTAGCCACACCGGTCCTAGTTTCAATCTGTTTGCAGGTCACGTTGATCTGTCAATCCTTTTTCATATTTAGAGGATTGATGCACATTTGACGAGATTTCGAGAAGTCAAATCTCTGCATCAACAGTAATAATATTTAATTGTTGATGGGTGAACACTCATTTTTATCCTCACTGTGGCTTAAAAATTTTCAATTTCTTTATTTATGAAGAAATAGAAAAATATCTCCCTTATGCATTTTTCTTTTTTACTTGTAAAAATTTAGTGTGCTTGATATTTGGGACTTGAGTACTATTCTTATTTGGAAAGCATTGCTTAACTAATCCTCGTTCATTTCCAAGTCAAGCATTGACCTTTTTCTATACGAATTATTAGGAAATACATATGTTACAAATTTAAGTACTCTTATGAGTATTTATTGTACATAAATTTGTTCTCTGATCTTAGATTTGGGATTCCTAGTCAATTAAGCTGGGTTCCAATTATGAGTACTATTAAGTGATAGGCTTTGGATTCATTATTTACTCTATTATTAAGTTCAATTTTTAAAAGTTTCAAGACCAAAACCTACCTTTTGAATTAAAATATAATTAACAAAATGAACCTAAGTTAAAAGTATCAGGGGCAAAAGAAAAAAGTCCCGACAACCAAACAGTATATAAACTAAATTTTTATATACCTTCCTTCAATTCGCCATTTAAGACAGTTATTTTTCCATTCATTCACTATATTTCAAGTTTTGTATATGGTCAAACAAACGTAATTTCTAGTAATTAATCATAAGTGACTCGATGATTTCATTTGTTTTTGTAGTATTTTTCTACAAAATCACGAGCCTTTATATCTTTCAACCATGTTTTATACAAAATATTTATTTGACATATTTCATTTCTTAGATAAATTATAATAAAATCAAATTTTACTATATTTAAGTATTAAATCATAGAAATTACAAAATAAAAAGTAAACTAAAATGGTGAAGAAGGGATTTGCAATCAAGAAGCATACCCCTATGAATACAAGAAGAAAGAGAGAAAGCTTACCAACAAAGAATTAAAAGAAAAATCATCACAAAAGAGTTATTCTAGGGAAAAAAAAGTAGTCATTTTCAAGAGAGAAACGTATCGTAGTACCTTCATTGTCCTTATATAGGTTAAATCATAAATTGAGTTATCGAACAGAACGGTGTCTATTTAGTATATAAACTCAAAAAAAAAAACTTCAATTAATTTGATTTATAATGAATCATTATTGTTTCACTGTTATTTAAATGTTAAAACATATATGATAGTTGGATGTTAAATTTTGAATAAATGATATTAATAGCATGATTTATTAGATTTTTTTAATATCCGGTAGAAGATCAAATTCACGACCTCTTGATTAAACATATATATTAATTACTACTGTTCACTATGACACATGATTTATTAGATTCTAGGCAGTTGAATAAATATTTTTCTAGAATAATAATAATAATAAAATTGAATAGATGTTACCATCAAAGTTTGTATGAACCTTGTTTTATATATAATATTTTATATTTAATATATTAAGAAAAGGACACGAGAATCATCATTACAATAAAGCTTGGGGCCAAGTGGACGACCTAACACCTTTAGATTGGTTAGGGCCAGATGTATTATTATTATTATTATTATTATTTTTTTAAAAAAAAAAGAAAAAAATAAGCATTAAAGACAACTCCTTCCTATTATTATTACAAAAGAGAGATCATGTCTTGGATAAACTATTTTCAAAACTTATTTTCACAAATATACAATCTTTATAAATTTTACAGTCTTAAATTTCTGGATTTAAAACTTTTTTCAAATGTCAAATTTACTCTTATTTATAACATTTACATTTATTATAATCATCTTTTATTTAAATGCAAAAGATTAATATTCCAAATTTGATTTCATAAACATTAAATTATTGTAGGACTTAAATCAATCATTCTCATAATCCTTTAATTTACTCTTTAATATATTCTACTAAAGAATGAAATTTATTACAAAATATTCAATTATTATCATATATATATATAAACTATATCCGGCTACCTTTTCAGTTATATGGAAATATAAACTTAAGCAACATACACCTTAACAATGGTGATATAAACTATAGCCATTATAACATACATTTATATGAAGATATAATCTATATCTAGCTACAAAATATATATGACTATATTCCTCTACAATTAACAAACAAAGAAAATAACCTACAAACCTTCCGGTCGGCGACTAGACAATGGTCGGGATAAACGGAGCGCTCGAATGGTCGATGGGCAGCCAACGACAAAAAAGAAACCTCGGGATAAACGAACGGAAACAATGGACGGGCGGCCTGAGATGAAGGAGAAGCTAGACGGATTGTTCAGGCGACGAAGAATAACGAAGACGACGATCGGAGACGAAGGAACGCAGATGGCGACCAGAGACGAAGGAATGGACCAACACAGGACGAAAGAAGAAGAAGAAAAGTCGGAGGAATGAGGTTTTTGAATTTTTTCAATAATGGAAGATTTTGGGGATTTGGTAGTTTTTTACTTTTGGAAAGTCTAATAAGGTAAAATTTAAGGGATTTAAAATGTAACCAAGTAACCAATTTTGGATTTTAAAAATTAATTAATATTAAGGTGAGATACAAAAGGATATATTAGTAAATTAGGTGATGGGTACCATGAGTTG